AACCACGATGGACTCAGTCCTCATCCTGTCTACAGATTTCCTCGCCTTAAACTTCCTACGCCCTGAGATCCTCTCTTCCTGACCCAGAGGGAATCAATCAGGCCTTGCTCCCACCCTGAAGCCTCAGGAGTGCGGATTCTGCTGAGGCTGAGCAAGCCCCCTGCCGGGCTCCCGACGCTCATTCTTGCATGGAACTGTCCAACCGCCACAGGGAGCTCTTCAAAATGCAAGCCATGTCCCTCTGGGACTGAAAAACCTCCCCGGACTGCCCTCCGCGTTATTCCAATGCCCCTTGCTCATTCCCGCCTCGGACCTTCCTAGTGAGTTTCCAATTTCTGGGAAAAGTTTACCCCTGCCCTCGCCCACGAGGGTCCCCACTGCGGTTTCTTCCTTATTTGAGTTCTGTCACTCACTTGCAGAATTCCCTATCTCTGCCCCTGGGAACTCCACAACTCCAGAATGGCCTCCTGGCTCACACTCTAGCCCCAGACCTACACAATGGCTGGTGCCTGTGTTAAGAGCATGTCTCTCAGCGAATGACGGAGGACAGAGAGTGATGGCCAGCACAGAGGACTCTGGCTAGGCAGGCCCATTCCCAAAATAGAATGTGCTTTTCAGATCTACCGAGTTCCCAGGGGATGAGCAACAGTCAGGGAAATGGGGGAGGGTTAGATGACTCATCTGGTAAAGGCACTTGCTACCAAGCCAATAACTTAAGTTTGATCCCCAGGACCCACATAGTGGCAGGAGAGAACCAACTCCTGCAAGTTGTCCTCTGACCTCCACACAAACACTGTAGCATGCGAGCACACACACAATAAACAAACAATAAATAAGGGGCTGGAGAGATGGCTCAGTGGTTAAGAGCACTGGCTGTTCTTGCAGAAGACCCGGGTTTGAATCCCAGCACCCACATAACAACTATATATAACTCCATTTCAGAGGATCCAACACCTTCTGTCCTCTGAAGGCACTGCACAACATGGTGCACTTACATATCACATGCAAGCATAACACTCATAAAATAAAAAATAAATAAATTTTAAAAAAGACCTGACAAGAACATGGCACACATGTACACACACACACACACACACACACACACACACACACAGACACACACACACACAATAAACTTTTGTTTTTAAAGAAGAAGAGGAAGAGGAGGGAGAGGAGGAGGAGGAGGAAGAGGAGCTGTGGGAGGTGGTGCATATCTTTGATCCCAGCACTTGGGAGGCAGAGGCAGGTAGATCTCTGAGATTGAGGCATGACTGGTCTACATAGTGAGTTCTAGGCTAGCTGGGGAGACCCTGTCTCAAAAAGACCAGAAAATAAATGAACAAACAAAAAGAAGATGAAAAGAAAACCAGGACAATGGTAGTATACACTTGTAATCTTAGCACTCAGGAGGCTGAGGCAGGAGGATCACACATTCTAGGCCAGTCTTGAAATACATAGCAAGACCCTGTCTTAAGGAAAACAGTAAATTGGGGACTAGAGAGATGGTTCAGTTGCTTAAGAGTACTTACTGCTCTTGCAGAAGACCTGAATTTGGTTCCCACCGCCATGTCTGGCGGCTCACAACCACCTCTAATTTGAGTTCCAGAGGATCTGCCACACTCTTTTGACCTCCCCAGGCACCAGAATACTCACACAGATATGTACACACGAATGAAAATAAAAATAAATATGAAAAAAACTAAATAAATAGTAGGGCATGGTAGTACATGCCTTTAATCCAGCACTAGGGAAGCAGAGGGAGGCCAGCTGGGTCTCCATAGTGAATTCCAGGCTACACAGTGAGACCTGTCTATAAATAAAAACAAATAAATAAATAAATAAATAAATAAATAAATAAATAAATAAATAAAAATAAAATTTATAAGTTGATTTTGTGACCTGTATATAGCTGGTGGCCCACCCTATACCTGTTTTACAATTTTTATTTTGTTTCTCTGAGACAGGGTCTTGCTCTGTGTAGCTCAAGCTTACTTCATCCTCACTATGTAGTCCAGCCTACCTTGAACTTGTAATCATCCTGCTGCAGCCACCAGAATGCTGGGATTACAAGCTTGACCACCCACTACACCCAGCTTTCATCTCCATTTGTAAACCCCCCCCATTTCTATGCTGGATCTACAGGTCTCCAGAAACACAACAGAAATTTTGGTTAAGTCAGATGTAGTGGCACACACCTATAATCTCAGCACTTGGGAGGCCTTGGTAGGAGACTCTCTAGTTCAACAGCAGCCTGGGCTACAAAGAAAAAAAGAAAGGCTACTTTGGAGTAGAATATCCCAACAACTGGAGGCTGGAGACTCCAGACCAGAGATGCCATTCATCACATTTTTATTTATTTTGTGTGCACATGCCATAGTGCACATGTGGAGTGAAAAACTTGTGGGAGTCAATTCTCGCTGAAATTCTGTGGGTCTCAAGAATTGAGCTCAGCTTGCCAGGCTTAGCAGTAAGCACCTTTACCTGCTGCGCTATCTTGCTAGTTCCCAGATGGCCATTAAGGGAGCCCTGTTCTGAGTCACCATCTCAGATTCCTAAGAACTCAGAGCTGTTTCCCTGGGGATCTGAGACAGGTTGAAGAAAGTGAACTTCACCTACTTGAATCTAGCCATGATGAGAACAAGGTGGGGGTGGGGGGAGCCTGTGGGAATTGCCATGAGTCTGATTGGAGAGGAGACTTACCTGCTTTTCTGTGAGGAGTCCTTACTTGGTGAGTTGGTTAGGAGTCAGGTGGACAGGCATCTCACTTTTTTTTTTTGAATTTTTGATTTTTTATTGAATTTTTGTGTACTTCACACAGAACATCTTACTCAACTTTATACCCCCTTCCCCACGAGCACCTGCCCATCATTCCCCACTGGAGTTTATATATTCTGTCATTTGTGTTAAGGTCTATCATGTCAAGTTAGTGTCCTGAGATGTCCCTCAGTGCAAATTTATCCACTGAGGTCTAGTTAGCCTATCAAGAGTCCCTCCCTTTAAGAAGATCAGCTCTGGGGCTGGAGAGATGGCTCAGCGGTTAAGAGCACTGACTGCTCTTGCAGAGGACCCAGGTTCGATTCCCAGCATCTACATGGTGGCTACGAACTGTCCTTAACTCCAGTTCCAGGGGAATCTGAAGCCCTCTTCTGAGAAGATCAGCTCTTCCTCACCCAGCAGTAATCAGCTGCCAATAATTCTTCAACTAAGATTGGGGTCTCCTGTTCATTTCCACAGTTCTGTGCTGGGTTTTTATCTGCTTGAGTTTGCATGGTTCTTGTGCATGCTGACACCATTGCTGTAGGTTCATATGAGAAGGGTCCCAGGAGCTTGTAAGACTCTATTTCCACATGGTAATACATCTCCTCCCTGGTTCCTAATATCTTTCCACCCCCCTCTTCTGCAATGGTCCCTGAGCCCTGGGTGGGTGGAGTTTAATACAGAAGTCCTGTCCACAGGACCCACACTCTGTGGACTCTTATTCTCTAAATTTTGGCCATTTGTGACCTTTTGTGCTCCTGGCGCTCTGTTGCATGAGGGAGCTTCATTGATAAGAATTGGAAGATGCATTAGTGTTCTCTTCATCCCTGTTCTATGCTCTGTGAACCTTAGGAGGTTGCATCATAGATGTGACACTTTGGCTTGGACAATTCACAGACAATCTCTGTGTGTATAACCAGTTGTGGAACTCGGTAATTTCTGTCTGTTGAAAAAGAAACTTCTTTGATGGGCTTACTCTTTTCTTGTTATTTAATTTTGAGATGCAATGTTGCTTTGTAGCCAAGGATGGCTCTGAACTGAACAATACTTCAACCTCAGCTTTCCAAGTATTGAGATTGCAGGGGTGCATCACTATGTTCAGGAAGGCCCCTTATCTTTTTGTAAACATTTACTATTTATGTATGTATGTATGTATGTATGTATGTATGTATGTATGTGGGCATGTGCACCATGGCACACATGTGGAAGTCAGAGGACAAATCAGTCCTCTCCTTCCACCATGTGGGCTCTGGGGGTGGAACTCAGGCTGTCAGGTTTGGCAGTAAGTGTCTTCACCTGTTTGGCCATTTTCATGTCCCCTAGACCTTCATTCTTTTTTTAGACAGGGTCTCCTATAGCTCCAGCTGGCCTGGAACTCAATATGTAGACCAGATAGGCTTGATCTCACAGAGATCCACCTACCTCTGCCTCCTGTGATGGGATTAAAGGTGTGTGCCACTACATCCAGTGTTGCTCCAGTTCTTTTAAAAAAAATTTTTATTTAGTCTTATTTTAAGTGTATGAGTGTTTTGCCTGCATGTATGTATGTGTACCTGTGTTGTGCAATACCCATGGAGGCCAGAAGAGGGCATTATCTCCCTTGGAACTGGAGTTACAAGAGGGTATTAGCCACCTTGTGAGTGTTGAAAACTGAACCAGGGTCTTCTGCAAGAGCAGCTGGTACTGTTAGACCACTGAGCCATCTTTCCAGCCCCAATTCCCTGTTCTTAAATAGTAATACCTTCATTGATAGAGTCTAATAGGACTTTTTGCACTTATGTGATTGGGCACTTAAAACAAACATAACTAGTGTGACTCAGGCCTGTATTTTTAATAGTGTTTCATTTTAGCTAATTTACATTTAAGTTGGAGTATCCCCATTTGGCTAAAAAGACCATACTGGATAGAGTATTGGGGAAGACTTAAGATGCAGAGTGGGGGAACAAGGAGGTCAGAGTTTACAGTTTGTGTAGCTATGGTGTGAGGGGGCTTCAGCAAGGTAAGACACACCTAGCATCCAACTCCATAAAGGAGAAGCAACCTGGTTGCCAGGGTCAAAGTGGTTCACACATGCATATATGTGTGAAGCAGGGCACCTATAGATGACTTTGTGTACCACACAGGAGTCATTTGCTGTGTGTAAACCATCAGAGTCCACCCATAGATGCACACTACATGGATTCCCAGCCACAGGAGGACAGTGGGTGTGTACATGCATCTCTGCCGCTGGTGACGGAAGCCTGCTAGTCCAGCAGGTCTTGCAGGAAGGCCCACATGTACTGGTGCATCTCCTGGGGATGGGTCTGTGGGATCCAGTGCCCAGTGCCTGGCACAATGTGGCTCTCCAGCCGGCCTGGCACAAAGCGGCTGCCAATAGCTCCCACCAACCCCTGTTGTAAGTAAGGGTCTTTCTCCCCCCACAGCAGCAATGTAGGTGTGGACAGCTCCTGGGGCTCAAGGGGAAAGTTCCTGTGACCAAGACAGACAGACAGAAAGATGATTACCCCCACTTCCCCTGGAACTCTCCAGAGCTTCTCTCCTGGAAGTGGTCTTACCTGAACAGGTTCCGGTAGTAGTTGAGGGGCCCGGTGAGGCCTCCAGGCTGTGAGAAGTGATAAAGGAAAGCTTCGAGTTCACAGGGAGTCAGGTGTGGGATGCCCCTCTTGCGGTGGGTGAAGATGGTCTTTAGAATCTGGGTACACAATGGAGTGCTGACTTCAACTTCTAGCATGCTCAGCCCCAATCTGCTAACCCCCAACTCCTAGGTCTTCACCCCCATTGTACCTGGAAGTCAGACATAGACAACAGTTTTTCTGGCAGCCATGGAAACTGGAACAGGAACATGTAGCTTGATTGGACTAATTGGCCAATCTGTCGGATTGAATAGTCTAGAAAAAGTGAAGGAAGGCCGATGGTGAAATCTGGGCTTGGGGTGGCCCTGCACCCCTATGTTCCTACGCATATCCAAGCTGGGCACAAAGACCTTAGAAACACCACTATTGTCTGCCTGTGTGTCTTCGGGTCTCCTGATTTGTTTGTTGGCTGGATGTTGTGGGGGATGTAGGGGAAGGTGATGGAATCCAGAGTCTTGAAAATGCTAATCTCATTCTTTACCAATGAGCTATGCCCTGTGCATACCTGAGCAGCACTGTCATTCTTAGGTGTCATTCAAGGAAAGGTGTCCTTTCCTTGTCCTACTACTCTCTGGAGGGGTCTGGATCTGGAACAAGGCCTGGCACACAGTAGGTGCTCAATAAATGTTTAATGCCTAAAGTAGGAGAAGCACACCAATGTCTATGGGGGAGGGGCTCTTAGGAGCCACAGAGGGAGGAACCCCTATTATTTTACTTAAGGTTTATTTTTGTCCTCTCTCTCTCTCTCTCTCTGAAATTTTGTTTTGTTTCAGATAGGGTATTTCAATGATCCTCCTGCCTCAGTCTCCCAAGCACTGATATTATGGGTGTATGCTACCATGGCCACCCCACAAACTTTCCTTCATGCACAAAATTACTAAAAATATTACAGAAATTACCTTCAGTCTATGTGTAGAAGTATATTGTAGGAAGCATAAGTTAATTTCATGTTTAGACTTAGGTTCTATCCACAAGATATTTATCTCATTATGTGTGTAAACACTCCAAAATAAAAGAAAATCTGAAGTCAGAAATGCTTCTAATCCAGGCTTTTTCCCTTCTCTCCCTCCTTCCCTCTCTCCCTCCCTTCCTTTTTTCCTTCCTTTCCTCCCCTCTTTCTTTCAATGCTGGGAATCAAATCCAGGCCCTCTAGCAAACCAAGTAAATGTCCAACAACTGAGCTATACTCCCAGCCTAGTCTGAAGGATTTTGGTATACTCACCTTGTACCTGGAAGTAGTTTAAAAAAAAAAAGTGGGTTACTCTTGAGTGTATGGTCATTGATTTTTAGGTTTACAAGTGCCAGAAGTGGAGGGAACTCAATTTACTGCATAGCTCTCAGCCCATGACATGGTGACAGGTGGATATATCCCAGCACTCACAACATACCTTGGTACACTGATATGGGTGCTCCACTGACCACCACCATCCGCTCCACTAGGGATGGGAAGTAGATGGAGAAATTCCAGGCAAGAAGAGCCCCCCAGTCATGGCTCACAAGAATGCACTTGGAGTAACCTGAAAGACAGATGGTGTAAGATGTAGCAGGCATGTAGAATGGGGGAGTGGGTGCTGGCAAGGAGTGTGGACCAAGAGCCAGTATGAACAGGATAGGGGAGGCTTCGCCTGGCATTGGTGTAGCTCATACCCAGGCCCAAGATGATATCTTTGATGTCCGCCATCAGCAGATCAGTGGTGTAACAATCCACATCCTTTGGAGCATCAGAGGGCCTATAGCCACGAAGGTCAACTGCCACAACATGGAATCGGTTCTGGAACTCCCGTAACTGGTAGCGCCAGGAGAACCTGGTGTGTGTGGGGGGGGACAGGGGTGGTGTGTAAGTGTTGGGCAGGGGATATGAGTCAGCCTCTCCATGATGCATCTCCTATACCCAGCAGAAACCTTGAGCAACCCCACCTTTCTGCTCTGGATTTCCTAGAAGGAAGATGGAGAAATTACAGGCAGAGAGGCCGAAGGCCACCTCATCTTCAATAATCTCTTCCTTCAGAGAGAAAACTAAGTCTCCTGGTGCAGTACCCCAGACCCTGTGCACACCATATGGGCTTTATGTGAGCTACACCCCCATGGCTACTCACCCTGTTAGTCCCCACTTACTAAGTCAGAACGCTATCCCTCCCTAGTGAATGCGGGAACCCCGGGCCCCAGACATACCAGTTCTCAGGGAAGCCATGCAGAAACAGCATAAGGGGCCCATTGCCACGGCCAGCGGAGACATAATGCAGACGCAGACCTGAGCTCTGCAGGAGGGCACGATTTAAGTAAGAGCTGGGGACCTTTTCTAGGCTTGAACCCTCAAGGCTGATTCCACCTTTGCCTCTTTCCTCATTTCACGTCCGCCCCATGAAACCTTTCTGCAGCCTCTAAGTTGCACTCACCTTGAGGCTCAGGAAGCAGTGCTCGCCCAGCGTGGGGTCCTTTAGGCAGTCCGGAGCCGCGGGCCGAGGAAGGCCACAGCAGCCCCGGCGAGGGTGGCACAGCACGTTGGTGAGCGCAATGCAGCTATACACCGCTGCGACCACCACTGCAGCGCAGTACACCAGGCACATCACCAAGGCGCGCAGCAGCTTCAGCGAGAGGCGCGACGGCGCCAGCAGCGCTGTCACCACGAACTCGGGCATGACTCCGCAGTCAGGGACCGCGACCAAGCCGCCGTCGGGAGGCAGAGCCGGGGATGCTGGCAGCAGCTGGGACGCGGGTTCCTCCCGGAGCCCGCCACCTTTGTTCTGGGGTCCCACTGTGCCGTCGGGGCTTGCGGGATCCGCCGAGGGAGCAGATGAGCGGCTCGGAAGGAGACTGCCACCGCACATGACTCACCCTAAAGTGGCAGGTAAACACTTGGGCGCGACCTGAAAGTCAAGGATGAGGGGGTGGAGTCTGCGAGGACCCAGCTTCTGCGGTTGGGCTGGGGATTTTGGGAAAAGGGGGACTGCAGGCGGGGTGTAGGGCAGGGAACTAAGAGGACTACTGTAGCAAGGGCTCAAGGCCCACGAGATGGTTCGTTAGGAAAGGGCACTTGGCACCAAGACTGACCGAGTTCGATCCCCCGGACCAACATGGTGGAAGGAGAGAAACTACTCCTGAAAGTTGTCTTCCAACCTCCTCACAAATGCTGTGGCACGTACATCTACATAGAGACACACAAAATAAATGTAATTAAAAAAATAAATGAATAAAGCCGGGCGGTGCGCGCCTTTAATCCCAACATAGGAGAGGCAGAGGCAGGAAGATCTCTATGAATTCAAGGCCAGCTTGGTCTACCTAGTGAGTTCCAGATCATCTGGGGCTGCACGGCGACCCTGTCTCAAAAAGACAACAACAACAACAACAAAGTCGGGGCGGTGGTGTACAATTTTAATCCTAGCACTTGGGAAGCAAAGGCAGGCAGATCTCTATGAGTCCCCGGACCACCTGGTCTACATAGCGAGTCAGTCAAGGGCTACATAGTGAGTCAGTCAAGGGCTACATAGTGAGATCGTGTCTCAAAAAGAATTTAAAAAAAAAAAAATTAAAGCAGGTGGCAGGGCTCCAAGGAGGGAGAGGAAGCATCCGTGAGATGGGCGGAGCCTTGAGTAAAAGGGCGGGGCATATGCAAGGTGGGTGGACCCAGTTTAGCCCAGATGCTTTGAGAAGGGTGTGGCTTGTGCAGGTGGAAGAGTAATTGGGCGGAATCTAGAAGCTGGGCCTGAGTGGAGATGAACAGAGGCTGGCCTTGATAGCGTGCGCAGAGGCCAGGCCTATGAACCCGGGTTTGTCCTTGAGCTGGTGAGCCGCCGGAAACTAATATGGAGAGTCAGGCAAGCCCGGAAACGGAAAGACAGGGAATGGTATATCTGGTTAGGGAGGTGTACGCAGTCGGAGTCCAGGCAATGGAGTACTTCCGGTGTTGGAGCGTGTGGCCCTAACCTCGACCTGGCTCTGTGAGACCCATCAGCGCCTTTACCCAGCCCCAGTTCCAACTGCGAGCTCCAAAGCCTCGACTCCGTGGTTGTCCTCCCGTTGGCCTAGCCGGCGCCGAGGTGCGGACCCTGTGGGTGGAGGCCATCCCTGGGGCAAGCCCTGTTTGCTAGACACGCCCAACTCGAAGCTTGAGCAAGTCTGAACAGATAGGTCACTGGTGCTGTAGAGGAAGGAAGGCAGGGCCCTGCATGATAGGGCATCAAGTGGAGTTGTCTCAGCAAGAAGCTTTTGCAACCTTCCCCAAGACCCTTGATCCTTTTAGGGAGACCCATTATTTAACCCTTACAGCACCCCTGGTAAGTGTAGGTAGCATTATCATGTCCTCGTATTACAGATTATGAACCTGAAATTGAAGGATGAAGTCATGTACCTGAAGTCATACATCTGGCTTAACAGCGATCCAGGATGATTTACAAAGCAGCAGCAATCTGTGGCTCACCCTCCACTACAGCTGCTGGAAAGCTTTCAGATTTCCTTTTGTGGTTGCTTACATTTCCCTAAATGTACCTCATATATGGTTCATATTATTGCATAGGCCAGGTAAGTGCTTCAGCAGACACCCCAGCATGTAAAAATTTGTGGCTGTTATTACTGGAATTTTTGTTTTTTTCAGTCTTGCTACTATGTAGCTCAGGGTGGCCTGTAACTTACCCCAGTTTCTGTGTGCTTGGGATTACAAGGATGTGCCAACTTTGTTCACCATATTTTTTTTTAAGCGGGGGTGGGGGGGTGAGGGGGTGGAGTGTGTGTGTGTGTGTGTATGTGTGTGTGTGTGTGGTGTATTGAGATAGGATCTCCCTGTAGCACCAGATGGCCTGGAGCTCACTATGTAGACCAGGCTAGACTTGTTCTCACAGAGATCCACCTGCCTCTGCCTCTGGAGTGCTGGATTAAACACAGTTGTCTGGACTTTTGAGACAAGAGCTTATTAAATTGCCTAGGCTGGCCTGGAACTTGCGATCTTCCTGTGCTTCAGCTTCCAGAGTAGATGAAACTACAGGAGTGTGCTACCATGCCCATGCCCAGTTGAGTGGCTATTTCTCTTCTTTTTTTTTTTTTTGAGACAGGGTCTCCCTGTTGCCCCAACTGGCCTGGAACTCACCGTGTAGACCAGGCTGGCCTCGAACTCACAGAGATCCACCTGCCCCTGCCTCCCAAGTGCTGGAATTAAAGGCATGTGTCACCACACCTGACCCTATCTGTTTATTATTTTTATGGTATGAATAATTTGGGGAGGTAATCTTGGAAGCTGGAATTAACATTTCATACTCATCTCGATCAGTTATGTTTCCACTGGCCATGGACACATGCCATGCATATGACCATTTTACTTTCTTTGGTTTACAACACATCTGCTCCTACATCTGACCCACCTTCCAGTTCTCTCTCATGGAGGCACTAGTCTAATGCTTGTGCAATCACTGCAGTCAGAAAAGTAGGAGTCAGTTAATTAAAGGCATGTGTCACCACACCTGACCCTATTTCTCTCTTAAAAAAAAAAAAAATTATGGGGCTGGAGAGATGGCTCAGCAGTTAAGAGCACTGGCTGCTCTTGCAAAGGACCTTGCACCCACATGGCGGCTGACAACTGTTTGTAACTGCCAGTTCCAGTGGACTCTGATGCCCTCTTCTGGCCTCCACGGGCATTGCACAACACAGATGCACTTACATGCAGGCAGTATATAAAATATATTAAAAATATTTGCATTTCAGCTGGGTGTGGTGGCACACGCCCTTAGTCCCAGCACTTGGGAGGCAGAGGTAGGTGGATCTTTGTGAGTTCAAGGCCAGTCTGGTCTATATAGTGAGTTCAGGTCAGCTGGGACTACAGGGAGATGTCTCAAAAAAGGCAAAAAAAAAAAAAATTACATTTTATGAGTATTTTGTATGCATGTAAGTGCACCACTTGTGTGAAACGCCCACAAGAGGACATTGGCTTCCTTTGGAATTGGAATTACAGACAGTAATTAGCTGCCATGTGGGTGCTGGGAACAGAACCAGGATCCTCTGCAAGAGCAGCCAGTTTTTTTTTTTGTTTTTTGTTTTTTTTTTTGGCTTTTTGAGACAGGATCTCTCTGTAGCCCCACCTGTTCTGGAACTATGTAGACCAGGCTGGCCTTGAACTCAAGAGATCTGCCAGCCTCTGCCTCCCAAGTGCTGGGATCAAAGGCCTGTGCTACCATACTCAGCGATGCAGCCAGTGCTCTTAACTGCTGAGCCACCACTCCAGACTTGCTGCTTCTTTTTGATAGTCTCTATATAGCCTAGGCTGGCCTGGATCTCACTATGTAGAGGATGACCATGAACTTCTGATTCTCTTGCCTCCACTTCCTGGGTGCTGGTATGTGGTACTAGGGTTGAACCCAAGGCCTCTACCATAACCACTCTACCAATCGTCAAACCACATCCCCTTCTTAGTGGCTATTTTAATTTTTGTATGTTTTGCCTGCATGTATTCAAGTGCATCGTGTGTGCAATGCCCACAGACGCCAGAAGGCGTCAGATCCCCTGGTACTGGAGTTACAGATGGTTGTGAGCCACCATGTGGATGCTGAGAATTGAACCCTGGTCCTCTGCAAGAGTACCCAGAGCTTTTACCTTCAGCACCACCTCTTCATCCCCCTAAATGGCTTTTTCTACATCTGCCAACTTGGCACATTATCCAAGTCACTTATACTGCCAACTACTGGACATGGTTTCCATTTTCAGTTTTCCTATCGCCTCTAACTTAAACACTCTACTCATTCCTTGTTATCTCTTGCCCTCCTCTCCACTGTTATGCACCTTTTTATTATCAAACAGGATATTCAACGTTATACTTATTCTGTCCAGGGATCGTAATAAATCCCCCGGGGAATGGTTATTCACATGGTTCTGCCTCAGCAAACAATGCACTTGAGAATTACATTGCCAGTATTGTTCTCCTTATACTTAACCATCTCCTTTCTTTTCTTGCATTCATTACTTTTTGTGGGGAGGCAGTTTTGCTATGTAGCCCAGGCTGGTCACCCACTCAAAATCCTGCCTCCAAGCCCTCCTGAGTGTTGGGATTACAGGTCTGAACTACCACCATACCCACTTAACTTTGGTTTCTTTTTTAAGATGTATTTATGTGCATGGGGGTTTGTGCTTCAGTCCAGTTCCCACACGTCAGAGGAGGGCATGGGATCCCCTGGAGCTGGAGTTACAGGCAGTTATAAATTACCAGATGTGGTGTCAGGAACCAAGCTCCAGCTCTCCAAGAGATTTTAGTGCTCTTAACCTCTGAGCCATCTCTCCAGTCTCTTAACTGGTTTCTAACTGTTTATAAAGATCAATCAACTTGGTATTCTCAGATCTCCATCCTGTCTGGTTGATGGGTGGTCTAGAAAGCTCCCTTCTTTGAATTCCACTATACAACCTTGCCTCCCATTCCCAACTCACTCCCCTCCTGATTCTACCCTTAATAAGACAGAAGTAATCACAGGAGGGTAACTTTATGTTCAGTACAAATGTTTATTTTTGCAATGAGAAGTGCACAAAAAAGAACCTTTAGTATATAAGTGAAAAGTCTACGAATTCCCTTCTACAAATGTCTAAAGTGTTTTAATACAAGTCTCAGATTTACTGACATAATTATTGGCCAAGCAACCCGTGCATACAGTACAGTGGGGCTTGTATACACTTCTTACTCTCATATAGGACTAAGATTTCTAGTACTGTGGGAGGGATTTGGAAATGGCCAGAGATTAAAGAGATCCCAGTTCTAATTACAACCCAGTTAAGAGGAACACCGATGAGGAAGGTGTGAAGGCCATTTGAAACTTTAGCAGGAAGGTACAGATGAAACCATCTCTCTAGCTCAAGAGTGGGGCCCAGCATAGGGAAGTTTCTGATCAAGAGGGAGCAAAAACACAAGGGTGGGATATGATGGAAGAAACCCCAAATGATCAAAATGTCATTGCCCTTGCACAGTACTATACAAAGTGCCTGGAGTGGGATGGGGCCTTAAAGATGGAAGGGGAACGCTGGCTGGGTACCTTAACTTCCCTCACTGGGAGGTGGTTTGGCCTTTCTGGTTGAAAAAGGGGGATGTGGGTTAACAGTGCTAGAAATGTTTCAATTAGTTTGTCTCTACATACATCTTCTATCTTAGGGCCTGTTTTACATCTTAGGGGCTGTTTTTAGGTGTCACCCGTACCTAGTGGCTAGGACATATGCATACAGGTGGGCACACAGGCAGGGAAACCCTCTGGGGCTTTCTTAGTGGAAATGTGTCCGTGTGTGGGGATACAAGGATCCTCTTTGGGGGAATGTGCACTTACCTAGAGTATCTGGTTAACCCTGAGCGTAAATGAAATTAAGAGTTAGGTAGAGGCAAGCAAGGTGGGAAAAGTAGTCCAAGTCCTTGGGTGAACAAAGGACCCAGAGGGAGGCAATGCGAAGAAAGTGGTCTGGAGTTTGGCCAAGGTTCCAGGAAAGCCAGTTACCCACCTAATCCAGGATGTTTACAGGGTGTCTGGCTCCCTGTCAGAGCTTTAGCTAGGGATGGCAACTGTGAGCCCACACAGCTCTTGTCCAGGAAAGGTAGGACACAGAAAGGGGCTCTTTGGCCATTGTTGGGAACTCTTATGCAACAGTGGCCTAGGATCCTGGGCCTAGCCTAGGCAAACCAGAAAACCTACATGGTTCATAAAGAAATATCAGGGAGACACCAGCATTAAAAAAGAGAGATGTGTTTATTCCATGATCAGTACAGACCAAATGCATATTCACCATATGAAAGTCAAACCAGTCAGTGACTCCAGAGTTTGGCTAACACCGAGGCACCAGCACTGTGGTGTATGTAGTGGGTTCTCATGGCACGCATAACCTTACCAGGGCTCCGATTATAAAATTAGAAAAAAAAAGGATGGATGGGAAGGAAGGAGCAGCCGGCTGGTCCCACCAGACGCTGAGCAGGGATTCTCTGACTCATTCTGTAGCGCCCCCTCCCCCAAATGCCTGGGGCCCACCTCATCCTCAGCTCTCCCTTTTCTTGGTAAAAACAGACTTGACATTAAAAAACAAAGAAGCCAACACATAAGGGGAAGGGGGGAGAAACTGCAGCTTTCTTGTTTTATAATTAAAAATAGACTAAGTCTGAAACTGAATATAAGCGGGATTTTTTTCAGTTTTGTATGGGGATATTTTTGTTGATTTTTTTTTTTTCTTTTTCTTTTTACACCAGTTTGGTGGAGTCACCAACAAACTTCAAACGAAGATATGCCAACTATGTTCACTATACAGTACAGCCACGGTCACACACTACCCACAGCGCGGTGGGTGCCGCCACTCAATGAGGAGACGATCACACCATTTCGGAGATAAGCAGTGCCACTGTGTCTGGAGAAGAGAGAATTAAAAATAAAATAGAATTCAACAACAACAAAAAATATATATATATAGGAACAAAACAGAACAAAATCAGAAACACAGGTGGGAAGGAACTGACTTTGGTTGGTGGCCTCACTCCCCAGGAAGGGCTCGCCCACACACGTGGACGGTCACCTCAATCCAAATTGCCATGGACACACTTCCATGGCACTATTCCCTTTTGCACAAGCGAACACTTACAGAGAGCGGCTCTCAATTAAAGGCTTGTGGGGAGGAGGGGTCTGTTCAAGGCAAAGTCAGTGCCAGCAAGGGGGTAGGCCAGTGCCCTGCCGCTCCAGCCCACACAGGCCTGCCCTGATCTCCTGGGAGTGGGCAGCGATGGCTGGGGTGTGAAGGACTCCCAATGGGTAGGACGTCGCAAACGTCATGTTCTTAGGGACAGAAAACCAGTCACGGTGGTGGCAGCAACAATGTCCTGTGTATACTGTGTAGACATTTGGCGCAGAGTGGGGCCTCTGTCCTGGGATGCAGGCCTTGGGTCTGGCCAGCACTTGACTCATATTGAGGCGAGCTCTGAGCTGACGTCCTGTGAGGGGGTGGTGTATGGCAGGACGTATCCGGCTGGCCATAAGGCAGATGGGCTCTGTGATCCTCAGCTGCCCGTCAGGCCTGCCCCGGGCATAGCATGCAGGAGAGCCAGGCCCAGAGACACCTGTAGCCGCTGCTACCACCTCCGCCTCCACCGCCCTTAACACTATGGAGAGTCAACGTTTTGCCAGAAAGTCAGCAGAAGTCGCCTAGGTGTTCTCAGAAAAGATTTTCTTCAAATATTGACAAAAGATCACTCTGGAAATTCATGTCAATCGTAGCTGCCATCTGGAGAGGGAGGAGGAGGAAGGTAGGAGTGAGTTGACATACCCTGTAGCACTTGCTGCCCATGCTGCCTGTGTACAGCTCTTAGAGACTGGTCCTCCAGTGCCCATCCTGCTATGTACAGCAACAGGCCTGAACTTACTGTCTTTCCCATCCTAGTTCCCAGGACCATACCCCAGGTCTTCAAGGTGGATTCCTGCCTACAAGTCCCCACCAGGGCCCCTTTACTCACTGCCTCCCGGCGCCTGCGTTCTTGCTCCCGTTTTCGGGCCAACTCCCTCTGCTGGTCCAGCATGGACTGGGGCTGAGAGCTCTGGGCCTGGGGGGCAGTGGCAGCAGCTACTGCTGCCTGCTGCTGCTGCTGCTGCTCCTGCCTCTGCTGCTGTTGCTCCTGGCGCCTTCGTGCCTCTTCGTGGGCTCGTCGCGCCTGTTCCAGCGCATCCTCATCCTCTCGGCTCCTGGGCAGAGCAGGGCCCTGGATCAGTCTGCCATACAGTATGGACCTGGGAGCCCCTGTGCCCTGCATGGACCCCAGCCCACCTCATGCGCTCCTGCCGCAGCCGCTCCTTCTCCTTCTCTGCGTGCTCGGCCTGAGCCTTCAGGGCCTTTTCCCGCTCCTCCTTCTCACGAGCAGCACGGCGGAAATGCTCAAAGCTGTCACTTGATGACTTGGCTGTGGAGGATGGGGTGGTCGGATGCTTTTGTACCAGGCTGGCCCAAGAGCCCATGTTCTTGATTTTCAGGTCCTGTGAGGGCAGAGAGGTCAGGGGCAAGTGGCCTAGTGCACCTGAGGATGTGGGAGGGAGCTTATGCCCAAGGTAACTCACAGGACGAGGACCTCAGGACACTTAGGTAATGCACCTACTGTCTCTACCTTTTTGGGTGCCACTGGTGTCTTTGGCTCCTGTTTCTGTTTGTCCTTGTCAGGGGCCCCTGGTGGGGGTGCATTCTGTTCAGGGGGCCTAATCACAGGCCTCCCGACATCCACAGGCTTCATCTCGGGCCCTGCAATACAAACAGTATGTGGGTCTTAAGGTGCCTCCCTCTGGGGGGTGAGGTCTATGGTGCATAGGTCACAGCCAGTGTAAGTTGGAGGCCTGAGTCCCAGTTATAGGGAGAGAAGGCACTTACGCTGGGGCAGGTGAACTGGAGCCTTGATGCTCTCCGGGTGCTTGGGAGGGTCTGGTCGCAGCGAGGGGCTGAAGGGCTCACTGCGGATGATGGGTGAGTGAATCTTCTCCTCCTTGACCACAACCAGGGGCTGAGGCTGGACCACTGAGGGAGGACGCAGCTCCTGGGATGGCATAGGCAAGGCAGCTGGTAAGGCAGGTGGGCACCCCTGGTCCCAGCCCATGCCTGGTTCTGACTCAGCCCTGCCCTTTACCTGCTTCTTAGGTTGGACATTTTGCTGGGGTGGAGACTGATGGGTTAGGCTCTGGAACTGTGGCATCTGAGGGGAATGTATCATAAGCGGGGATGGGGCTTCACGGAGGTGACCTAGGAAAAAGGACAAGAAGTGTGTCAGTAGGCTAGTGTAGAGGCCAGTCTTGGGCCATTTGGGTTCTGAGAAAATTCAAATGGAGGAACAGTCAGGCTGTACACAGAATTACCACATGACCCAGTGAGGCCTGACTGAAGACCTATTAAGAATCTATTAAGGCCTGGCAAAGACAAGACCTCTCTACCTTTGGGGGCAGAGTACTCCCTAACCCCAGCATGTGGAGCCCATTCAGTTATGCCCCATGCGCTGGGTATGTTAACAGCTTTCTGCAGTCCCATGGTGCTAAGTCCCAAGGTTTGACCCTTCTGCACGCACATCAGGATTATCCAGGAAGCTCTGTTAAACACATTAGGGCTTATATGGAGTCTGTATGCCAGTACTCTTTAAAAGCTCCCCAGAAGACTCTGAAGCTAAGCTGGGTATACAAGGGACATCAATAAATTTCAAAGAGTCAACCCAAACAGTCAACTTTGTCCTCATGTAACTTAGCAGGCTTTGGTAGTTGCAGAAGAATTGGGGCCTAGACCCTGGTGTGAGATGGGCCATCCCTAGTCCTGCTTCCTGGCTTAGCCTACTCAAAATACAGAATGCAGGGAAACTTGGGGACTGGCCTCTATGTGGGCAGAACAAGAATAATACGTCCTGGAGCTCATGGCCAGTCTGCCACCTGCATCTAAACAATTGCTATGAGGAACCCTGGTGGTATACAGGTTCCCAAACACCCAGCATAGTTCATATGAGCCCCACTGCTGGCAAAAGAACCATAAAGCATTCAATCCTCCTCCTCCTCCTCCTCCTCCTCCT